TCAAATCAAGAAATATTTTACCAATCAACTATTTACTTTATGCAGAATCAGTACTGAAAGTATTGTCGAAGGGTTCATGTGCACTTTAAAAGTATCCACAAAGATAATGTTGAACAAGAAATGATAGATATTTGCTGTTATAATGTTTAATTTACCTTTAAGTTCCGTTACTAGATAGTAAATTAGGTGATTATAGTCAATTGTTTTGTCAAACATCGACTAAACAAAAGAGAATTATACACAGTTTAAGAAACGGAACCCCCCTTTGAAAAATCCTGGATCCGCCATTGTTACATCATCAATAATGGCAATCAGCAGTAGAATTATTTCATTTACATATCGCTATAATTGTGGGATTAAAACATGCCTTAGTTAATTCTCTGTGAGGACTGTCATCGGTCTTCCTAGCCAGATCTTTAATTAAGTATATTAAACAAATAAAACAGCTCGTTTTTGTGCTCCGTTCAGTATTAAAGCACGCAGGAACCCGTAGGCTAATGATTCTCACATTTCTTGAGTGCTAACGGCACTTCCTAAGTGCTTTGTTACTGAACGGAGCACAAAAACTGAGCTGTTTTATTCCTTTTATCATATAGTTACTAAKTTTTTTCTGTATTTAATTCATTTACGCAAAATGAAAGACGGTCGTAGGATATAGCAGTACTTGATGGACATGTGTTCCGTTCACTAATAAAGCACAGTTTTCGACCAATCAGCGCGCACGTACTATCCTAACTATATAACAAAAGAAAATATTTATTGCGACTAACAGGCGAACAAACAATACTTCAATAGTCGACCCTTTTGTAAAATACCACTTTTTTTCTACTACTGTACAGTGTCAGTTAAAAAAAAACCTATTAAACTAACCGCCTAGGATTAGGCCTAACTCGGGTTAAATTCTCTAATCGCGGTTTAGTTTATCTGTGGTTTAAACATCGTTGTTCAAAGCTAGATTAGTCGTCCGATTAACTAAACCCCGATTACACGACTTAATCTAAAAGAAAAAAAACCCGTCCTTTTTTCACGAGGGTAGCACTTAATAGCCAGTGGCTAACAAACCTGTGGCCCTCATTCCATGATCGAATTGGAATTTAGGAGTTGATTTTTGCGGAGGGAGGAAAACCGGAGTACCCGGAAAACCCTCGAAGCACAGGAGAGAACCAACAAACAACTCTACTCATATACAACACCGAGCCCGGCGGGACTCGAACTCGGGTCGCATTGATGAGAGGCGAGCGCTCACACCGCTACGCCATCCGTGCTTCCCAATTACGATTACCATCCCAAAATGCACTAGTGTTTATGTTATTTTCAAGATGGCGGCTTTACCTAATGAAGTTAAAATTGAAAACGAAGTAAACGTTATAATAAAAAAGAACGCAAAAATTAATTTTATTGCATCGGACTGCTGTCTTAGCCAAAAACGTTGAGAAGAGTGCAAAGTAAGTTCACGAACTTTTTAAGCATGTTTTCCGTCTTGTCTTTCGCTCTTGATACTACTCGTAAATTAGATTTTTCATGTTAATAATGGCTTCTCTTYCGAATCTGTATTGCACAGAAGTTCGCTGTCAGTGTCTTCCTCGATGGAAGAGCTTTTAAACCTATATCTACGAGCTTTTCTTTGCTGTGCGGAAAAATTGAACATTAGACCCGCCATTTTGTTTTCACAATCTTTATTTTAATCCTAGTTTAGCGATTTAAACCACCTCGCGAGTTGGTTTAAATTTAACCCACTCTTTAACCCTTGGTTAGCGCTAATCGTGTTTTGAACAACGCAATCTAATCCTAGATTAAAATTTAAACCTCGATTAGGCGATTTAATCCAGGTTTAGCTTTAATCGGGGTTTTGAACAACCGGGCCCAAGATTAAGCGTTGCACTTGAGAGTGCTAGCAATATTAGCAGAACTAATTAGCATTAAATTGAACTGCGATATACGAATTCACTCTAGTACTATCAATGTATGGGACAACTGAAATCACTATATTGAAATATAATAAAGTAGTCGGAATAGCATTGTCAGAGAGTCAAAACAGCCTCCTCCGCAGGCTAACCAATATATTCTCTGTTGGGATCCCTGTGTTAAATGTTATGGCAGGGAAGAACTAGGAACGAGAGAGGTAGAGGCCGTGGGGACGAGAGAGGGAGAGAAAAAGCGAGAGGGATAGCATCTCCTCTTCTTCTTTCTTCCTCCCCTCCCCCTTCTCGCCAAAGGAAGCCCAAGGAGTAAAAAGAACCAAGGAGATGCCAATGGAGGAGGCTAGTCGGCAAAACACTAAAAAGATGGTTGCATTAGGAACATGCATTACTATGAGTGCTGCAACATCAACAATTCTTAATCAAAGTACTTAAATGTAATCAAGTACTCAGGATAGCATTGGGAGTCGTGAAATACCGCAAAAATGTCGGGGTTGGGGCCATCGGTATTAGCCACGGAATCGTACAGGATCTCAGGTGTATCACGATGTTTAGAAGGCGGGACTTTCATTAGAGTATTACCTCTTCTGTAGTGTCCAGTCAGAACACGAGCAAGATAAATATGTCTTTCATTGTTGATGATGATGATGATGATAACATCATTAGAGTATTACCTCTTCTGTAGTGTCCAGTCAGAACACGAGCAAGATAAATATGTCTTTCATTGTTCTGATTTGGTGCCGCAAAGGCAGCGGAATACATCGCACTTTCAGCAAAGTAAACACCTTTGCCGAGCAAAGTTCCTGTCGATAAAATGGAAAAATTGATTGAATACGATGAAACTGCAAAGCGAAACTCCATAAGACAAAAGGCAGCACGGGTGGCTTAACGGCGAGAACGCTCGCCTCTCCCCAAGGT